TTCCTCAAACCCATTTCAATTAATTTCAATTTCGTAAATACATTTCTGTTTTTATGAAATACATTTGCATTTTCCTGAAACACATTGTGATTTTCTGTAACAAAAATGACCTCTTCTGAAATGGGTTTGTGTTTTTCTGAAAGGCATATTGAATATCTGAAATACATTTGCAGTTTTCTGAAACACATCTGAGTTTTTCTGAAACACATTTACTCGTTTCTGAAACACATTTGAGTTTTTTTGAACGGAAGCTCCAATTTCTCGTGTGAACGCCCAAAAAGGACTTTTTGTCATTTTTCGAAAATGAATGTCAGAAATGAATGTTTTTTTCCAACGTCTAACAGCAAATAATATGTAGATTGTTCAGTATCAGAAAATGTGTCTGTTGAAAATCGGACTTTCCCCTTGCAGTGTTGGCTACCTACATTCGAAATATGTAAACGTAAAGTAGCTATTCACGCCTTTCTGGCTATCAGACTAACTGATTATAGATTGATTGCTCAGAGCATTTAATTATTTCAGACTGAATTAAAAATATTGTCACTTAAACCGATAACCAGACAGGTGTGAATGGCTGCATTATCGCCGTTATTTTGTGATTTGTCAAATTTTATTAAGAATAACGTTTAATATTATTTTACTGTTACTTATCATTAATAGCCCAATGTTCATTGCGGAAACTTTTCATTTTATCCGAGTTCAATAGATTCTTCAAAGACAGCCGCTTCAAGACGCCACACAATAACAAAACAGAACAAACTAATTGTAGTACATAGTTATTACTTGAAATGGATAGCAAATCAAGACGTTTAATTATATGTAATTGGGTTTCAAAATGGACATGGGTATACAAAACATGGGTTATCAATGCGAAAATAAGTAATACGTATTAATAAGAGTCTTGTTAATAACAACTTAATAATATCGGCATACATACATATAAATAACACCAAACAGGTATAATCAAACACACGCGTATTTATTAATATGTATGTATACAATGTACATATGTAGATTAAGCAATCGCTTGCGCGAACATCAATGGAATGTGCCAAGATATAGTTTAAATTTAAATTTTATTTTTTGTATAATTAATGTTAATTACTTTTAGACAAGTATGCATGTAGCTTTTATATTTGTTCCGTTGCAATAGTTTAATTCATATATTTGTGCAAAAAGAATCTGAAAATCTGTTCTAGCTGCCAAAGTTAAGGCTGAGTTATGCACTCGTAGCATTTCACTGTCTATACAAACATCACTTGTGCAACATAGTCGTGATTATACTTCACGTGCCACAATCACACAAATTTGACCGCTCCTATTGTGGCACTTTTGAGATCGTTAAGGATACATAACTCAGCCCTAAGCTAAATAATCGCTGCCAAAACGGCCCTTAGGTTATGCGCTGACGATTCAAACGCTCTGCATTTTTTGTTTAAACAAAAATTAAAAATTCAACAACAAAAAACTCTGACGATTGGGTAACATGCGAACCAA